ATGCCAAACCTCTGAATGCAACAACTTCAATTTGATCAGTAGAGGGTTGGCAAAATACATTGTGATATGTCTACCATTTTTTATAAAGTAAAATAAAGCAAAATGTAGAATATGAAAAATTTGTTGTAAATATGTGGGTGAAGACATGTTATGGATGGATGGATGGAATAAAGTCTAAAAGGGCTTTTTAGAAGTGGTAGTTATTTCAGGGTGGTAAGATTATGACATTTACATTAAACCAAAAAATGTATATGTTATTTCTTTTCCCCAGAAAGTACAGCATTGTGTAACCTTTTACTTTCATTTCTCAGTAAGTATTGCCCACCTGGTTGTCTGCTTCCTTTTGCTGAGATATCTGGAACAATTCCTCATGGATATAGAGATGTAAGTTGGATATAGACCTATCTTTAAACTGTGGTATAATTTTATTTAAGAATTTGCTCATAATTTTAAATTATTATTATTAACTTATTTAAGAAAGCATGTTTTTGGTTTTTTGGAGTTTTGGTTTTTTTTGACAGCTGGTCAGCATAGGGAAACAAACCCTTGATCTTGGTGTTATAAGGCCATGTTCTAACCAATTGAGCTAACTGGTCAGCCCAAGTAAGCATCTTTTTAATAAAAATTTTTAGTCTTTAAAAACATGTAAGTTTGAGTTAAGCATCTTCTACATGGCAGCCAATTTCATTAAAAAAAGAAAGAGACTATTTTTTTCCATGTAAATGTATTAAATTTACATTTATAAAGATAGTACCTTTATGAAAAAACTAGTTTAGAATTTGATAGCTTAAAAATAAAAAAATTAAAAACTCTAGAATAGTTAGATGTGTTTTTATTGTATATCTGTATTTTTTTTTTTAGTCAATAATGTGTAATTTTTTTTCTTCTGCTAAATATCTGTTGTGTTGTAAAACCAGTAATCTAATGTTTATGAAGAAACTGCCCAGATCAACTGATTTCTTGAGGAAGTAGAAATGTCTTGTCTATGAATTATCAGAAGAAAATTGCAAATTAATCTCGTCTTTTTTCTTTCCTCAAGTCCTCACCATTGTGCATGGCTGGCGTGCATGCAGGAGTAGTGTCAAATATTTTGGGTGGCCAAATCAGTGTTGTAATTAGTAAAGGTATCCCGTACTATGAAAGCTCTTTGGCTAACAACGTCACATCTGTTGTGTAAGTATATGTGCTATTTATAATAAGCATGCTCGGTAGGGTGGGCTAGGGACTAGCTAGATCTCAGTAATATCACCGTTAATGGTTTTCATGAAATAACATGTATGCAGTAAGACTTACATTTGTGTGTGCTCAATGTCTGAATATTTTGAAAAGTACAGGTCGTGTTGTACTTCCTCAGCTTGTCCTACTTTAAAAAGGTAGTCGTTTGGAAAGGTGATTTGTTTCCTTCTCAGAAGTGTTGAAGAAGTCTGGAGTAAGAGTCTATAAGTTTATTGCCAAATGCTTACTTTATTTTAAAGATCAGAAGTCATAACCACTCTGTTGCTTATAAGCCCATGCGACCCAGGATGGATCGAGGATGACTGAAATACTTCAAATATAAGTTAAATGTTGACATAAAGCAGAGGTAGTGTTATCACGAATCATCCTCTCATCCCAAGAGAATATTTTAAGAATGTATTTTCATGGTATCTACAGTGTTCTACTCTTTTACAAAACACAGATAAAAGCAGAAGTTGAAACATTAAATAGAAATGCAGTATTAACAATCTGTTTTTATAAATCTTCTTAGTCCTGCATACAACACTAAGCCTAACTGAAACCATCTGCTCTTCAGAGGTCCTAGGCCAGTTTTAAGAAGACCAGGACAGAATAGAGTAGGAGTCAGCAAACTTTTTCTGTAAAGATCCAGCTAGTAATTATTTTAGGCTTTCTAGCCACTTGTCTCTGTCACTTACTGTTTTTTGTTTTATGTACAACTCTTTAACCAGGTAAAAACATTCTTAGCTCACTGGCCATACAAAAACCAGCACATATGGGCTGTCATTTGGTATAGACTCAACTTCCATTCCTTCTTTTGGTTTCTTTAGATGATTTTATGCAAATCCATTCATTCTTTTCACCTGTTCTACCTTTAGAACGATTTTTTTTGGGGGGGGATTCTCTCTTTCATACTTTAAAAAAGTACGGATAGGTTGTGTCCTTTTGTAACAGTTTGAATGTTGTCTACAGGCAAGAGCGTATACTGACGATTTTATTTCTCCAAGTTTCTTGGAGTCCTTTGACCTGCTTTATGGTGACTGTTCCCTTGTCTGACCCCTGCATTCTCATCAGCTCACCCATTTTGATCATTACTTTGAAATCCAAATGTAATGCTGCATTCTAATACTGAAACTTGTTCTCAGACATGTTGATTTACTCCTCTAAAAGAAAATGCAATCTCTTAATTGGTAGCCAGCTTTTCATTCATTTACCACAGGAAACTTGAGCCTCATTCTCTGAGAAGTATACCTTTGCACCAAAATTACTTGCCACAGAAACGTTTTAGGAATCAATTTATTTAATGAAAAAGAAGTAAATAAGTACATATTAAAGGTTACATGGATGCATTGCACAATCATGTACTAAACTTGGTACTAGATACTTGTAGACAAAGTGTCTAGTTTATGCTGATTGTAGAAGTTGTTCTGCTTAGAAAGGAGACTTTTTTCCAACAAATAATATTAGTTGTCTGACTTTGAGGCATGGAATCTTCTCGGTTCTTTAAACAGTAGAGGAGGCCAGGGGGACAAATCAAAAGAAAATATTTCACTAAGATGAATATGGGGAAATCATTTGTTATTTGACTGTCACAAAAAAATCTTTCTTTCTTTCAGGGGACACTTATCTACAAGTCTCTTTACATTTAAGACAAGTGGTAAGCCTTTCATGGACTTTATAACTTATTATAATTTGTATAATAGCTAATATTTTTTGAACACTGAGTATATCAGGCATTATGCCAATTGCTGCTTTTTTGCATTTTCTCAGTTAGTTGTCATAATAACACCATGAGATAAGGTAGATACCCAATAATATAATGAATAGAATAAATGGGAGGTTTTATATTAATAGGGAAATCATCACGTAAACAAGGAGAATTGCTTTTTCACCCAAGTTATTAATTCATTTAACAGAAAATATTTGAATGTTTTATTTGTAAAGCACACTATCTGGTGCTATTGATAACAACAGTGAGCAAAATAAATTCCTGCCTTCCTGGAGCTTACATTTTGATAGTGAGAGATTGACAATATGCAATGAGTAAGATAAATTGTTGTTTGTAATGTACAGTTTACATTATTGGTATAAAAGACATAGAAAAATAAGGGACGGAAGGAAGACAGGAAGTACAGGAGGACTAGTTTGAAGTTTTAAGGAGGGTCAGGGAAGGCCTCATCGAGAATGTGACATGTGAACAAAAACCCGAAGGTGGTAGGAGGGAGTCACCCACTTATTTGGAGGGAATGTCCCAGGGAGAGGGTAATATGTATCCATTAATATGTTGCTTGTGAATGAATGTGTTTGTAAATTTCCTAATGATACACAAAGACATATGTCCAAGAAACACTTTGCTAGTTTTGAAGTTTTTCTGTTGCAGTGTGTTATTAGCATAGTGAATGTTAATTAAAGGTGAGTAGGTTTATATAGATTTTTGAATTTATATCTGAAAACCAAATTTACTTCCTTCTTTGTATCAGGTTGTTATGGAACACTGGGGATGGAATCTGGTGTGACTAATTAAAGGTGAGTAGGTTTATATAGATTTTTGAATTTATATCTGAAAATCAAATTTACTTCCTTCTTTGTATCAGGTTGTTATGGAACACTGGGGATGGAATCTGGTGTGATTGCAGATCCTCAGATAACAGCATCATCTGTACTGGAGTGGACTGACCACACAGGGCAAGAGAATAGTTGGAAACCTGAAAAGGCCAGACTGAAAAAACCTGGACCTCCTTGGGCTGCTTTTGCCACTGATGAATATCAGTGGTTACAAATTGATATGAATAAAGAAAAGAAGATAACAGGTTTAAAGATATAAGTTCTAGAGCAATTTATAATACCAATTTTATTTGGGAACCTGGTGACATCACATTTTCATAGAAAATTAGGTCACTAAAAATTTAATTATATGGTTTTAAGTTTTCTTCACTGATATTAATATTACTGGAGATAGTTTTATAAAACATGGCAGAGGAGAGGAATTGATATCTAATTCCTAATAGCTTTTCTTTTTCATTGTAATATGGTTCTTTTAAGGTAGTATTCCTTGAGATATCTGAAATAACCATCTCTTACAGTTCTTAAGAGAAATTTATGTTCAAGGAGTCCATTTTAAGTGCTATAAATAATTAATATTCCACATATGCTGAGTATAAATTTAGTTTAGGGGAACTTAGCAAATGGTCAGAATAATTGGTTGGGATTGGTTTAGATAATTTTATTAAAAAATGTATTTTGCTTTAGTACTGAAAATAATACCAGTAATCATCTTTAATGTGTTCACTCCCAAGAATTCATCCTTAGTCAGTAGTTGAAGTATATTTTACCATGGTATGAACACAAGCTGCCAAAATAGAATACAGCCATCCTTTGGTATCCGTGGAAGATTGGTTCCAGGACCCCCCTCATATAACTAATTCCACGGATGTTCAAGTCCTTGTTATAAAATGGCTTAGTATTTGCATATAACCTATGTATATCCTCCCATAATACCTAATACAATATAAATGCTGTGTAAATAATCATACTGTATTATTTAGAGAATAATAAGAAAAAAAGTCAGTACATGTTCAGTACATACGTAATTTTTATTGGGGGGGGGGATCCACAGTTGGTTGAATCCACAGATGTGGAACCCAGGGATATGGAGGGCTGACCAGTTCTTTCCTTATGTGTACCCATAATTCTTCCTATCTCTCCAAGGGAACAAAGTCAATGATTTAGTAACTATGATGATGAAAACTTGCACTTAGATATGTAAATGAGCCACAGGCAGACATGTTTGAATAGTGCATCTCAGGTGTTTATGCTTTAGTGCTGAACAGACATTGGGGCTCAGACCATGTGAGGTAATCAAAACAACTCTTCATTCCCCAGGCATTATAACCACTGGATCCACCATGGTGGAGCACAATTACTATGTGTCTGCCTATAGAATTCTGTACAGTGATGATGGGCAGAAATGGACTGTGTACAGAGAACCTGGTGTGGAGCAGGATAAGGTAAAGTGATTACCAAGAGATTGTAAAAACCACTTTTAAAAAGGGCCTTTGCCAAAAGTCACAGGAGGTCCCCTGTGTAAAAGAGACGTAAAAGTTAAATATTTTGTTTTACGCTGCCCTCTTTTGGTTATTTTAGGTAGTGTTAGTTATTGTCCTTACCCTTCTGACTGTGGTTAGAAAATTCTCAGTGGTTTTAGGTCCCTTTTGGTGATTGTAAGGGTAAGGACTTTCCTGACTTTTGTCACTGCATTTTTACCTGAATATTTTAGACACTTTATTAAGAAAGTCTGAAAAGGAACTTGTAATTTCTTGTCTTTATAAAGCTTTTCTTATCAATCCTTTGAATGGTGGACAGACCAATTTGTTCCCAGATTTCTACTCTGTGAGGAAAAAAAGACAAAAGAGCTAAAGGCCAAAGGCATTAAATTATAGGATATTATAGACTTGGAAGGTCATTTCAAGATCATCTCACCAACTTCTATCTTAGAAAACTTCTGTTTTTTCCTACTTGAATAATTTCCTTAACTTATAATGGTAATTATGAAATCTTTTAGTTAGCAAAAAATTATGAAGATGGTGGAATGAGACAGAGGAGATGATAAGGTGTGGAGAGTAGGCAGAGGTGGGTCTCATCTAGATGTTTATCCCTTTTACCCAGGCTCCTGGCCCGTGATCCACCACAAGGATCTTTAATGTCCCTGAGGAAGATAGATGCTTCCTGTCTAGAAATGAAATTAGAAGCACATTTTTTTCAGTGATATTTTCCCTATAATTTTGGTTTTGATGACATATTTTCAGTTTTTTGTCATATGTATGATTTGCTAATATATCTTCAAGTTGCCATTTTTCTTATCTCTCTGTTAAAAAATCTCCAGGGGCTCCCTATTATGTTTCATATGAATCTAAACTATTCTGCTGTTATTCAAGGTTTTCCTTCCACTCTTCTACTTGATATCACATGAACTTTTCCTCCTTGGTGAGCCTCTGCCATTGAAGCAAATAACAGTACTGTCTCCATACCTATCTTCTGGTTAATGCCTCCAAACTTGACTACTCTTTACTCCTAGCACATCCATTTTATTTATATAATGCTTATTATATTTGTGGAATATAGTTAAATTTTTGAAATTTTAAGAATTATCCATGTTTATATTATAAATATTCTTAACAACATTGAATTATATTTCCGAAAAAGACTTTTTTTGTCTTCATTTTTGAAAGATAATTTCACTAGATATATAATTCCAGGTAGAATCTTTCTTCTTTCAATACTTTAAATACATGGGTTCACTGTTTTCTGGTTTGCATTGTTTTTGATGAGAATTATGCTCTCCATTTTATTGTGTCTCAATATGTAATATGTCTTCTTTTTTGTAGCTGCTTTTAAGGTTTTCTTTTTATCATTTGTTTAAAGCAATTTGATAATGATGTGTAGTTTTTTTGTGTGTAGTTTTCTTCAGGAATCCTCTGCTTGGGGCTCTTTGAGCTTCTTGGATTTCATGTCTTCTTTTTTGTAGCTGCTTTTAAGGTTTTCTTTTTATCATTTGTTTAAAGCAATTTGATAATGATGTGTAGGTTTTTTGTGTGTAGTTTTCTTCAGGAATCCTCTGCTTGGGGCTCTTTGAGCTTCTTGGATTTGTATGTTATGATTTGCATCAAATTTGGAAAATTGTAGGCCATTTTTTCTTCAAATATTTCCCATCTCCAATTCTAATTTCATGAATATTGTGACCCTTGAAGATGTCTCACAATTTACCTATGCTCTATTCATTTTTTTTCAATATTTTTTCTCCATGTTTTAGTTGGAAATTTTCTATTGTTTTGTCTTAATCTGTTCTTCTGCAATGTCTGATCTATTAATCTCATAATATTAACGTATTATTATCTCTGATATTATATTATTCACCATTAGATTTTTAGATTTTTTAATATTTCTTCCATGTTTCTTCTTTACATGCTTATGCTTTTTCTATCTCTGAAACATGTGGAGCATTTAATAACTCTTTTAATATTTTTATTTACTAATTTTATCATATGTGTCATATCTGGGTCTTTTTTATATTGATTGATATTTTGAGTCATGTTTTACATGCCTGGCAATTTTTTATTGGATGCCAGACCTTGTGAACTTTACATTGTGCGAAATTTTTAACATTTTTATTATTTCCTTAAATATTCTTGAGCTAATATTTTCTGAGATTCACTTAATCTACTTGGGAACAATCGCTCTTAAGCTTCATTAGGCAGGACCTGCACAGTCTTTAGTTCTAATTTTTCCTCATCACTNGAGATTCACTTAATCTACTTGGGAACAATCGCTCTTAAGCTTCATTAGGCAGGACCTGCACAGTCTTTAGTTCTAATTTTTCCTCATCACTGACACATACTGTTCTAAATACTGAACCCAGTGTCTCATGCATTACGAGGTTTCTCCATTCTATCTGCTGGCAATGTGAGGTGTTCCAGACCTATGTAGCTCTGAGAATTACTTCATTGGCTTTTTCCAATAGTTCTTTTCCTGACCATTTTTTTTTTACATGCAGTTAGAGATTTAAGGGGATACTTTTTACAGATACTAGAAGTCTCTCTCTCTTTCTCTGTACTTACTCCAAACTCTGTCCTACAAAATTCTAGCTACCTTGTTGGCCTCTCGATCTCTGAGCTCTGTTTACTCAACTCATTGAGACCAGCAGGCTCTGTTTGGGATCTCTCTCCCTGAATGGTGACCTGGAAACTCTCTCCAGACAGTGCTAAAACACGGCAGGGCTCACCTCATTTGTTTCCCCTCTCAGTGCTTGTTGCCCTGTGATTCTTGTTGCCCAGTGTCTAAGAAACATTGTTTCATATATTTTATCCAGTTTTCAGGTGTTTAAGGTGAAGGATAAATTCAGTCCTTGTTACCCTGTCATGGACAGAAAGTAGAAGACCTCACATTAAATTATTTATAATATAACAATCTTTTCCCCCACTTATATTGGTCTATTTGCTCCTCATCTACTCCCAACTCAAGGGTAACTGGTGTATTTATTTTCACCCCTTTTCTAAGCCCGCACATGTGCATGAGCACGTACACACATTTGGTTTTGTTTTCAGAAAATGGGATTAGTATTTTCAAGGGTACTTCAAAAAGTTCTTGGAAATATTCATATTATCGTTTAATTCTATTTTTCCAAGGACTTTTTAAAATTTATTTTTTATTAGCATATTCATTTTTACAAATCATACTTATTCTTTATGCCCCTTATCCAATCTCTCTCCAACTTTTTGAAGCACCCTCATATATACAATTTGCTTTAATAATATATTACTTTGTAATATTATGGCATTATTTATTTATGGTGTAATAGCCAATAAATATAAGTTCTTTGAGAGTGGGGAACTTTGACTTTCATTTCCATTTTATCCTCATGACACCTTACAAACTTCCCTATACACAGTAATTCTCAGTAAATGCTCAAAGGTTGACTATAACACATCTTTTTTAGTCAGTTTTTATAAAATCTTTCTCTAAGTTTTTAATAAAATTGGAGTTGCAATATAGAGTAAGATCTTGATCATAGTTTTTATGTCCCAATATGATGTTTTACTATTGTTCCTATTCCACTAATATAATAAGACTATAAATAATTGCCTTCATTTTATTTCAGAGTAGTATCTAAGGAAATCATGAAAACTTACTAGTGTGGAGATTTATTGTAACTTCAGAACAAACCTTTTAGAAAATAAAGGTTATTAACACATCTCTAAAAAGTTTATAATTGCATGCTGTGTGAATAAGCCAATAAGAAATAGCCTTGATATTTGGAAATAACTTGATTAAGAAATTAGACATTTACTTACTCTCATGTTAGTTGATAAACAGATCATTTTGATTTTAGGTAAATGTCAACTTACTTTAATGGTCTTTAGAAACTACCTAGTTGATTTGGCCTGAGGGAACAAGCTGTTGGAGCCCTATACTTATGTCAGAAGACCCAAATTCAAGTCACTGCCCAATCACTGACTAGCAGTACAACCCACCTACTTTCTCTGAGTCAGTTTCCTGTGCCCTGCCTATTTCATAGGGTTTACATGAATAGCATTCTGAGTTAATTACATGAAAATGCTTTATAAATAGCTCAGAGCTGATTATTTGCTTGAAATACTTGAAGGAATGAAATAGTCACTTAAAATCATATTTTTACCTAAGGATTATTTACGCAATGCATTAGTTGCTGCTTAGTAATGATGATTAAATTAGGCATGGAGAAACTGAATGGCTCGTAAAAATTTTTTTTTTTTTTAATTAGGCATAGACTAGTGTTTCAAAGTCACTTTTTTGATTCAGATAGCAACAAGGAATGAAAACTAAGATTATAATTTGGAAGGTAATGATGATTAAATTAGGCATGGAGAAACTGAATGGCTCGTAAAAATTTTTTTTTTTTTTTAATTAGGCATAGACTAGTGTTTCAAAGTCACTTTTTTGATTCAGATAGCAACAAGGAATGAAAACTAAGATTATAATATGGGAACTGTCTTTATGCACTTTATCCAGTAGGTGGAGATATATATCCATTAATTTGTTTGTTAGTACATATCCAGGTTCAACCTATTTATGATTAAAAAATTGTGAAAAGTACCCAGGCAAAGCATTTTCTCTTAAGACCTCGTATGATCAATTATGTTTTACTCTAAAACTGAAATCATATGTTTAAATAGTTGGTAATTCCATAGGAGTAGAGTTACTAATTTATTGATACAATAAACTGTCTCGCTATAATTGAAACCCTTTTTCCAGATTGCCAAGTTAGCACTCTTGTTAAATTCACAAAATCACTTTCATATTTAGTATTTTTCTCTTATAAACTTTTAATGACGAATGGGCAGCTTCTTAATAGTTTTTCCAAATTATGATTAATTTATTTTCTCAGAAATTAATACTTATTGTCATGTTTTATAGATGTCATTTAAAATCCAGAACAGAAAACAAAAGAACAAAAAACAAAAACAAAAATATGTTTAAGTTGATGTAAAGTACCAATTTTTTGTTGTTTATCAAAGATATTTCAAGGAAACAAAGATTATCACCAGGATGTGCGAAATAACTTTTTGCCACCAATTATTGCACGTTTTATTAGAGTGAATCCTACCCAATGGCAGCAGAAAATTGCCATGAAAATGGAACTGCTTGGATGTCAGTTTATTCCTAAAGGTAAAGGGATAGTTTAAAAAATTTTATTTTTACTAGATTGTTAATTTAAAATGGTTTTGCTGTTCTCAGGGAAAATAATTAATAATTTTTTTGTGTTTATACTCTAATTACAATATCTTCTTAAAGGGATTTTAAAAAATAAATTTCCTATTAAAAAGTTACATATCAGAATGGTGTCCAAAGTTACAAATGGAAGAAGAAATAGCTTCATTCATGAGATAATTAAGTCTAGTATCAATCTTAATAATATATTTTTTTCTTTTGTATCACAAAACTACCACAGCACCTGACACATAGTTGGCGCTCCATAAAATACTTATTAAATGAATTAAATAAGTAATATATCGAATTGTGATGACACTTTTATAGCTTTAGAGTTCAACATCATTCTCCTTGCCATTATTCTCATTCCTAAGATTATTTTCAAATGATTTAATTATGTAAAAACTGAGAAATCCTGATATATTTGTGCATTTAATGCAGAGTATAATATCTAACCTTCTGATATGTTTCTCTCTAAGATTTAAAATCACTCTGAGGAATTAAGTACTTTAGGAAATGTTGAAGACACTTAACATTAATATTTTTAACTATAATTTTTAAAAGCCAAATGCGTAAATTTTTCTAAACCATTTTTCAAGGTCGTCCTCCAAAACTTACACAATCTCCACCTCTTCGGAATAGCAGTGACCTCAAAAACACTACAGCCCCTCCAAAAATAGCCAAAGGTATGCCTACTTTTAATTCGAGAATTTGATATTCCCTGGATTTGTGGTATAACATTCCATAAATTTATTAAAAGCATTATAAAATAACTTTTATCTTAAATTGGTGTAGATAAAAGAATAAAGAATTTTTTAAACTTTTTTCAAGGTCGTGCCCCAAAATTTACTCAACCACTACAACCTCGCAGTCGCAATGAATTTCCTGCACAGACAGAGCAAACAACTGCCACTCCTGATATCAAAAATACTACCGTAACTCCAAGTGTAACTAAAGGTATGCAGATGCAAAAAACAACACCTGTTGCATAGTAGTGTTTTGTTTTTAACTAGTTTTTAGGAGCATTTCCAGCTTAAATCCTCAGTTTCTTTTCTTCCAACTGTTTTAAGTATAACAAAAACTTTAATTTCCTTCTTTAGGAAATTAAGTCAAGAAAAGACTTGACTGCATTAATCTAAGTTCAATTCTCTGGTGCCATGTAGGACTGTTCTTTAAATATTTAGAGGTAGCTATTGTGTTGTAGGCATCCTCTTATGATTTTTCCTCCCTTGTGACTAAACACATTGAGTCTCAGGCTTAGACATATGATATTTCTAGAAATAAGTAAAACTATAGCAAGAAACAAACTTTTTTTTTACCATATATATTTCTGGATAGGGAAATTGGTGGACAAAAGGAAAAATAAAAACAGAACATTTGGTGGAAACTATTCCTTTTTAAAAAATACTCTGGAGTTAACATACTCCTAAGAAAGTCTTTTACTCTAAGTGAGTCATTGTGCGGTATATGCATGTATTAAAACTACACACCATACCCTACAAATATGTACAAATATATGTTTAAAAAAAAAAGAAAGAAAAGTTTTGGTCTCTGTTTTTTAAATGTTTAAAATGATAATTTTTTTTAGGTTATAAATGCTAATGTCTTAGAATTTGTTTTGAAATTTTATCAATGATAAAATATATTTAAAAAAGAAGTTAAAATGTACAAAACATAGTTACTTTTACTAGTTGTTGAAAAACAATTTTATTCGAATTCAGGAAAAAAGTGTCAGTGTTATGAATTTGTGTCATTGCTGGCAGATAAGCATACTTGTTTTCAGGAAAGTGCAGAGAAAGAAAGCAATTCTTCCAGGGTAACTTGCACCACATAGAAGTTTAATCATTTTCATTTCCTGAAAATTTGCTTGGTAACTTTCTCCGACTTTGCACGTATCAGTTTTTTTCCTGTCTTCTGAGGTATCTCCTCAAAGACCAATTTCTTTCTCATACTGCAGGAAAAGCTAAAGAAAGGCAAGAGTTCTCAGAGGCAAGAGGTGTCAGCATCTCACATGAGCTTCTGAACAGTTCGCAGGAAGCATGTGTTTAGACAGTCCCAGACTGCATGCTTAGATGGAAGAACAGTCATTTACAAGTATTGCTTATCTTAAAATCTGATTATAAAATCTCAAAGTCTCAAGGCTAAAGTGTTCTTCAAGTCTTTTCTTCCAGAATTAGAATCCCTGTGACCTTGAAAAGAATGGGGTTCCTTGTGCTGCCCAAGGCTGATCACTTCCTCTGTGCCCTGGTTCCCATCCATCAGCTTCTCAGAGATCTGATGTTACTGATATCCTCTCCCTGTCCTATATCCTCAGCCTCTTTCTCTCTTTTTGAATACAGTTGTTGTAAGGAGTAAAGAGGCTGCAGGTTAGACTCCTCACACTCTCTGGCTGTTAGCCCTCAGTAAATGTCAGCATTTGCTGCAATTGTCATCCTCATGCCTGGATGGGGTTGAAGGATACTAATATCCCAGATGACCTTAGGCAGACCATTTTCTGTGTCTGGGCCCAGGCTTCTGTATTCCTTATCTGTGGAGTGAGATAAAGGGATTAAAGGACCTCCGAGTCCCTGCCAGCTCCAGCACTGTGTAGGTGTCTGACCTGTTCATACACACATTTTCAGTTGGCTTTCTGTGCTTAACACTTCTTTGTTACCTTCCCATATCTATAAATATTTTGCCGTTATGTTGTAACATTATTTTCAGTTGCTGACTATATTCTACTATAAGGAGGTTACCATGATTTACTAATTCCCTCTCATTGTTAGGCATTTGTATTATTTCCAATTTTTCACTCTTATGCAGAAACAGAAGCAAACATCTTTAAAAATGCATCTTTGAATGTCTTCTTAATTTCTTCCTAAGATTAAATTATAGATATGGAATTACCAAGTAATAGGTTTTTAATACATATTGCCCCAAAATGCCAATCAGAAAGTATCAATTTATATTCCCATAAAAAAAATACCTGCTTCCTGGCATCATCTTCAACAATTATTTGTTGTTCTTTTGCAAATTTGATAAACAAAAATAATATCTTGTTCTGGTTTTAAGTTATACTTCTTTACTAGTAAAGCTAACATGTTTAATGGTCACTTGTACTTTTTAATGAATTTCCAGTTCATCTCCACTGATTTTTCTATTATATTTGTTTTTGACTTGTATTGCTGTTATAATATATTAATTATTTATATTAGCCTTTTATCACATATGCATAAAATATATTTTTCCAGTTTATAATTTGGCTTTTCATCTTATCTTGGTGATTTAAAAGCATAAGAAAATTTCAAACGTATACAGAGGTGGAATGAATAATGCAATGAAGTTCCATGTATCCATGAAAGCTTCTGCAAGTACCAGCTATGCCCAGGCTTGTTTCATAAATAATGGTTATGGTATTTTTTGAGATAGGAAAGTGTTGAATGATGTTGTGGTTAAATCTTCCTCGTCAATTCTGCCTTTGATGTTAATGTGTTTTTTTGTTTGTTTTTGCTTTTGTGACTTCAGATGTAGCGTTGGCCGCAGTTCTTGTCCCTGTGTTAGTCATGGTTCTCACTACCCTCATTCTCGTATTAGTGTGTGCTTGGCACTGGAGAAACAGGTTAGTACATAACTAGTTCACCTAATTAGTCCTAGGGGGGATGTATTTCCTAAACTACCAAATATGATATAGAAACTTAGTATAGAAGATTAACTACATATAATTCACTTGTTTGAGAGTGAAAGTTAAGGCAATCATTCAAATAAAAGTTATATGTTTTTTCCTCTGTTCTTGTTAAAAATGAGTAAATGCAATTCTGAAATCATTTAGTGATTACCTGTATCATATCAAGTTCTGCCTTATAACTGGGATATGTACATTAATAAGAACAATGTCTGACACATATTAGGTACTTAGTAATATTTACTGAAAGAATGAGACACAATTTCTCCAAAGTGTTTAGCAAGATTGACACAAAATAAGGAACTGTCATATAGTTTGATGAGTTATTTATGAACTGCTACAGAGAACCATGAGAGTTATCTGAAATCTTCCTTTCAGGAAAGGGAAATCCTCAAATTTGGCATGTTTTGCCTTAAAGGAGTTAGAGTTGGCTAGATAAAAGAGGGTAGATGTCTTAGTCTTTTGGGGCTGCTATAAAAAAGTACCATAAACTGGATGGTTTATAGACAACAGAAATTTAGTTCTCACAGTTCTGGAGGCTAAGAAGTCCAAGATCAAGGCACCAGCAGATTTGGTTCTGGTGAGGGCCTATTTGGCTCATAGACAGCACCTTCTTGCCCTGTCCCATGTGGTGGAAGGGGTAAAAAGATTTTTCGGGCTTCTTCTATATGGACATTAATCCCATTTCTGAGGTCCCTCCCTTTATGACCTAATCACTTCCCAAAGGCTCCACCTCCTAATACCATCACCCTGTGGTTAGGATTTCAACACAGAAATTTTGGAGAGTCACAGACATTCAGACCATAGCAGTGAAGAATTGCTCAGACTGAGGGAGTTGCTTGAGGAAAGGCACAGATATACAAGATACAGGCGAAATAGTGAGTCATCTCATGTGGGCTTAGCATGAGAGAGTTCTCAGTGGTAACCAGAGAAATGCACACTGGGCCTAGATCAGGAAGTGCTTTCTGGGAGAAAGAAGTTTATTTTATTCTATAGATTGAGAAATCACTGAGTGTTAAGCAGACAGGTGATAGATTGTAGAACGATATTAGCAGGAGTCTTGAAGGGTGGATTGAAAAGGAGAGAAGAGCCAGTCTCAAGATGAGTTAGGAAACTACCAGGCCAGGCGGGAACATAACTCAGCGGTTCTAGGGAAGGGAGAAGAGATAGAAGGAAAGATATTTCACAATAGCATGGACAGGAAGCATGTTTAGTTATCTACTAAGGAAGAAGGGGGGATATAGGTGATCTGAGGTTTCTGGCTTGTTCAGTTAGACCAGTAGAGATGTCATGAGTTGAGATAACAGAGCAGGAGGGACAGGTTTGGTTGCAAAAGAGAATGACTTCATTTGCTTAGTCATTCAAACATTTGAACACTTGGCTCCTACCCAGTGCCAAGTATTGAGCCATGTGCTGGGGAGTCCAATGATGAATCCCAAAGCTTAGAACCAGGAGAGGATACAGTGCAGAAAACTCATAGCCGTAGTACCAGCCACAGAATATGTGCCATGGGGAGGAAGCTGGAGGAACACATGGATCCCAGATTCATGGTGTCGGGAAGGCTGTCTGAGCAAAGACCCACAGAGTTAGTGCAAGGGCAGTAGAGAAAGGAGGAAGGGGAAGGGGCTTTAGGACAGTCCAGAACGGAGAGTGCATGATGCATCCAGCAAACTGAACAACGATAATAGTGGTGATGAGGCCAGCAGCGGCAGTAATCAATTTTTAAAGAAAATTAAGTGCTGATTTTAGGCATTATTCCAAATGCTTTAGGCATTATTCTAAATTATCATTCTAAATACATGTATTAACTCATTTAGTCCTCAAAACAACCTTTGAAGCAGGCACTATTACAAACCCATTTTACAGAAGAAGAAAGTAAGATATAGCATGAACAACTTGTCTGAGGTCACCCGGCTAGTACACAGCAGAGTGGAGTTTTGGACTAGGCTTTAGAGCTCATGCCCTTATCCAGTGTTGCCTCTGAATGTATAATAAATAAAGTATAATACACTGTGGTTAAAGCACAAGGGGCATGAGGGTGAGGACTGGAGAGTAGAGTTGTTGAGAGGGAAGCAGGAGTCAGGTCCTAAGATCAGTTTGGGATAATGTTTAAAGGACCCTGTGGACATTCAGACTCCCAGGAGGCAGCTGGAATATATGCCTGGTGTTTTGGACAAAAGGTCTGAGCTGGAGAATTGAAGTTACTGCTAAGAATGTAGTTGAAATTGCTGATGATTGGCTTCCTGACAAGGAGTAAAGGGTCAGATGCCATTAAGGGATTGTGGAAAATAGGGAGGAGGAGAATAATAATAAAAACTGCTGTAACTTATTAAGTCCTTAACCTGAGCCAGGCACTGTTCCAAGCAGTTTATATGTAATGAATAAATAACCTGAAGCTTTGTCACTTGAGATTAAGTATTAAAATCCTTTATAGTACAACCCTTGAGTAATACTCATACCATAAATTTGTTGTCCTAGCCATACAGGGCATTTAACTTCCATTTAGAAAAGATTATTGGCTTTTGGTTTTGTTTTTTTTTTTAATCTTATGATGATTAGAGCATTTTCAGGGAGAAAAGTATGTTAATTAATAAGCCAGCATATTATTTCTTTTTCATTCAAGTTTTTGATTAACACTTTCAACACCTACCATCTCTTCTACAAATTTTACATTTATTTTACTTTAAAATAACAAAATAATATAAATACAGTCAGCCTTTAAAATGAGGGAGCTTTTAATATCAGTAATAAAAACATGGCTTTGTACTTGTAGAAGAATGTTTTCTAGTAGGAAAATCATGGGCTCCTTATCAAAGCCATGTTTGTGATCTTCAGCATATCACATAATCATCTTTTCCTCATTTTTAAACAATAGGTTCTTCTTTCTCTTTAGTTTGCCAAGCACTAATTTTAATTGAGTTGGATTTACACTCTTAAATCAGAAAATGTCATTTCATTTGCTTGGTTTTTCTTTGTAGAAGGCTGTTGGTAAACAGTTCATTCTTAACAGAGGGGAGGGAGATTCCTCCTGGGGAAGACAAGTCAGAATTCTGAGGGGTGGGCTGGGAAGAATCTTCTTTGTTGCACAGATGGCTCTCACTTCCCCAGAGAGTTGTGGTGCTTTCCAGGCCTGGAGAAGCAAGTTCTCCTCTCTCTGCCACTTGTCACCATTACTGACAGCACTGACTTATCCTGGGATGGTGGGGGAAATTATGTCTGTGCAATTAAGGGTATGTGACACTTGAAACTTCTTTGGAGGAAAGGACCAGAGAAGAAAAGCAGAAGCTGGGGAAAAAAAAAAAAAAACAATGCAAAGTAGAAAACCAGAAGGTTTTGTTTTGTTTTAGTTCTATGAATTTTATCAATCAGTTGGTATGTGAAGTTTGTATTTGAAACCAAAACAGACCTAACGTGATTTGCCCATAATAACCCATGTCAGAGCTGAGACTGATTTGCCTTTTCATCTGCAGACTTGCTTTTTAAATTTCTTGATCCTTTTTAAGTGGGTATTAGGTGAAGACAGTTGTTTAAATTACTGAGAGTCCAGAATCTATAAGCCTCAGCAGTGGCTCCCTTGGTTAGATCAACAGGTTTCCATCTTGTGCATTCTTGACTAATTGTGGTATTTATTCTACAGTTGCAGAGATTTCTTACCAGTGAATTCACTCTATTTGGTAACTTTTTGTCTGTATTTTCCAGAAAGAAAAAAACTGAAGGCACCTATGACTTACCTTACTGGGACAGGGCAGGTAACTCTCCGGGACACTACATCTCTTTTCCTTCAGAGGGGAGCCCCTGCCCTGCAGGTGGCAGTAGTGAAATAAATAAGAACTCCCAGCACTGCTAGAAAAATGGCATTCGTCTTCCGTTCTCACTATTTTTACCCTTTTGCAAAATCTCTTCTAGTTAATAAGTTATGAAATGGAAAGTACAGTTTTCTCATAACACATACTCTGGGGAAAGCACAAATTTCTTATACCATACACTCTGTTTTTTCTTCTGGAAAACTTGTCTGGTTTGTCCTACATATCTATTTCTCTTGAGGAGACCAGCTTTTTGGGTGGCCTGTGTGAACACTGAGTAAGAAACAAGGATTGTAGTTTGACAGTACAGTGTGTGTCATTCTGCCATGATGATTTGCCAAATGGAATCCAGCAGTTTGGGAATCTGTGAGGCCTGCCATCTTTGCCCTGATGAGTTGTCATGTTCTGAATTGCTGCAAGTGACACCAAGGCCGCCTGCTGGTCTCCCAGTCCTAGTCTCACTCTGGAATGACTGATAGGAGCCAGGAGAGTTCACTCCTGTGACCAGGGTAGAGAAGGGCAGTGTAGGGACAGATCACAATACTTCTGGCACCCAAGGTCAAATCTTGGAAAGTGTTTTCGAGAAAAACTTATTAAAAACTACTTGCAATACACACTATATCTGGCTTGCAATAGACACTATATCTGGCTGTAATGGCAGTAATTTGCTTCTGCATATGCTTTTGATAGAGATTTCTACCATGTTCTGTTTTACACAGGATATTCTTCCCATCAAAGAAAATAATCTTGAATATAAAATATACAATAAAAGCTAGTTTGTAGAGATATTTGTTATAGAAATGGCTTAAGTGCCACAGGATTTCTGACTTAATGTTATCATTTGAGACATAGTTTTTTATTTAATGGTCTCTTCGGGTTATGATCACAATAAAGGTTGGTGGAAAGGAATGAAGCAGTTTCTCCCTGCGAAATCAGTGGAACATGAGGAAACTCCAGTTCGCTACAGTAGTAGTGAAGTTAATCACTTGAGTCCGAGGGAAGTCACCACAGTGCCGCAGACCGACTCTGCAGGTAAACTATGTGGCAGCCTTCAAGCACCAAATAGAGGGAGAAACTGCTTATGCTTGCTATAAAGTGCTTTGGGATTTATAATATCTTTTATCTTTTTCATGTGTAAGAGATGAACTGTTTTCTAAAGAGTAGAACCACTTTTTTAAGAGACACTTTTTTTGGGGGGGCGGGGAACAGTCATTTCTGTGTTTTGGATGTCCTATCCATAAAATTGGGGCATTCATTTCTAAAGTCTCTGAGCGTTTTGTCTGTTACCTGGGGTTTTGTTTGTTTTAGTTCTTTAAGAGAGACAGGAGTGTTCAGAGGAGAGGAGGAAAGACAAGAGAAAGCCGTACAGTATTTATTCTATTAACCTAGTACATATTCATTTTAAACACTCCCTAATATTTGGAAAAGAAAAAAATCTCTGAAGTGGTTTTCCAAGACTAATACTTATTTCAGTAATGGAACATTTCTTTTCTGGTGAAATATTGGCTATAAATCTACAGAATATATACAAACACTCTTTATACAAAATTACATAAATGAGACTTTCTGGCACATTAACTTGTTACTATGAGATACTAGATAACATCTTTAATTTTAATTTTTGAAGTTGGTTCTTGGGAAATCCATTTTTTTTTTTTTTTCCCTTTTTGTCTTTTTTCGTGTCCGGCAACGGACCGCCACCCTCAGTGTCGCGCCCGTACCGGACCGGGACCGGCCACGGGATCGCAACCCTCGGTGCTGCGCCCACCCCTCGCTCAGCCAGTGAGCGGGAACTGGTCTGTATGTGGGATCCGAACCCTCGGTGGGAGCGCCACCGAGCTCCCAAGCGGCGCACTGTAGCACCACCGGGCCGGCCCCATAGGTCTGTGTTGATAGTGACAAAAGTGCCATAAAGAAGTGTTTGCTTCTGGTATAAGTTGCAGCCGCCATCCTAAATTATGTGATTCCTATATTGGTAAGATAACTTTTCTGTTGTGTTTTGTGATATCCACAGAGTATGCACAGCCTCTTGTGGGAGGAATTGTTGGTACACTTCATCAGAGATCTACCTTTAAACCAGAAGGAGGGAAAGAAGCAGGCTATGAAGACCTAGATCCTTACAACTCGCCAGTGCAGGAGGTTTATCATGCTTACGCTGAACCACTTCCAGTTACTGGGCCCGAGTATGCAACCCCAATCGTCATGGACATGTCAGCTTCAGTTGGTCTGCCCTCCACATCTACTTTCAAAGCTGCGGGGAACCAACCTCCCCCATTAGTGGGAACTTACAATACACTTCTCTCCAGGACGGACAGCTGCTCCTCAGCTCAGGCCCAGTATGACACCCCAAAAGGTGGGAAGCCAGGACCTAGTGCCCCAGATGAATTGGTGTACCAGGTGCCACAGAGCATGCAAGAAGTATCAGGAGCAGGAAGGGATGGAGAATGTGATGTTTTTAAAGAAATCCTTTGAAGGTGATGCTGCTTTTTACAAAGCATCGTTTTAAAGCACATGGCCTTTTTTTTTTTTTTTTTTTAATTATTAGTGGTAGTAATATATAGAATGTATTATATATCTGTCACTGAGGTGGTTGGGGAAAATGTGGTGACCAAGGTACAGGAAACTACTAATCTTGCCATCTTGCTTTAAAGGTGTTACCGTGGAACAGTTACAGCTTGCCTGTTAAATTTCAAACATCCTGTTTGTTACTACTGTAAAACACTATTTTTAATACAGAAAACAGTCCCTTTAATGCACTTCAAAGATTAAAAATCACTGAGAGTATTTATTACCAATGCTGCAGGTACTTTAATGAAGTCAAGAAATGGCTCTGTAAGCCTGACTGGCAATAATGCATGGTACTGTTCTTGAAATATCTAATGGCTTGAAATACTACTCTTTGTGAAAGGTGGGTACTATTATGATTTCTTCCTCTTCTATTCCTATATTGCTTTCTGGATTTCCTTTTTTTTTTTAAAGTGATATAAGCATTGTTTTGATTGCAGCCATATACACTCCTTAGGAAGACCTAAAGCTGGGAAACTGTGACTTGTAGTGAGCAGGATGATTGACTTTTTTCACTGTTGACACTCTTAAGAGCTTTGACACTTCATGGTACGTGACCAGTGACCTGGTCTCTTCCCTGAGCTCCTTGGTGACTAGCCCCATTCTTGTGTTTATGTTCGTTTGGACTTTTTTCAGTGGATGATGCTTGCTGTATCAGTCTCATGGATTCAGATCCTCTGAGGTCTTTAAGTATACTTCTCTATGTGGAAACAGAACAACTTTACAATTTAGAAAAACTGTATAGGAGACTCTCCCCCATATCCCAACTTTATTTGCAAAGACTTTTCCAAGGAGAGTTGTGAAAAGTTGAGGGCTTTTAAGTGTACTCTGTAAACATGACCCACGTATATTTATCACAGTGAAAGGCACAATAATTCATTCATAAGTAATATAAATTGCCTTAAAAAACAAAATAATCAGAATTTGTTCTCCTTGGTTTTACATACACACATACACAAACACATGAATTTTTCTTGAGTTTCAAGGTATGTTTTTATTTTTAGTCAAATAAAATAATTTTTTTTTCCTTTTTGTCTTTTTTCGTGTCCGGCAACGGATTGCAACCCTCAGTGTCGCGCCCGTACCGGACCGGGACCGGCAACGGGATCGCAACCCTCGGTGTTGCTCCCACACCTTGCTCAGCCAGTGAGCGGCCGGTCTGTATGTGGGATCCAAACCCTCGGCGGGAGCGCCACCGTGCTCCCAAGTGGCGCACTGTAGCAGTGTGCCACTGGGCCAGCCCCTAAATAAAATAATTTTTAATTTTAGTTTTCCACAGTAAACTATAAGACCAACATGTATTCTTCAGTACTTCTGTACTGATTGTGCCCTTTGTCTGTGTGGTGAAAGGTGTGAGTACATGTCATAACTAGAAGCAGACGTTATAGCATCGTAGCAAGTGAATATTTATGCCTTGTTTTTGATAGCTTCTGGCAACTTGTCACCTGCCCAGAAATAGTTTTATGTAGGGTAAAATAGAAATCATCTGTAATTTAGCCTATAGTGTAAAAACCATCTTTAAAAGTCTTTAGACTGGCAAAACATGAAGCACTCACTACATGATAAAAATATATAAATTTGACATGATCTCTTCCATAAACCTTAGTTTGTAGACTTAATGTTAAAATGTACTTTTCCATCAGGTTCTAGTCATTTCTGTTAGCCTGTGCCATCAGATTATGAAGTTGCCAGAATTCACTAAATTTGAATTAAAGATGAACAGCTTGCTTCCATGAGTATATCAGTATTCTAAAACATTGCTTCAAAAAGAGAATTATTTCTGAAACCTTCCTGCCCTCTTGTTGTTTGGTTTTGTCGGTTTTATTTTCATTTAGTTTTCCCTTTCCAAACTTTGAGGCACAATTTCATTCATTAAAAAATCAATATATATTTTGTTTTAAAATATTTGAAACAAAAAGCACAGATGTTGAACTTTTATTAAAATTGTATATGAATGTATAAAGCACATGTATTAATGCCATCATCCCCTTTCAGGTGGGAAGAAAGTAAACCAGTTGCTTTATTTTTTTTTTTCATCCTTAGTACTCAGAGAATATGCTTTTCCTCAAGTCGTATACCTATGTGAAGCTTTAAAAGAGATGATTTAAATAACTATTTCATTTTTCCAAAGAAGCTTGCTATTTTTGTGTAATTAATTGTGTGTACCTGATTGTTTTTCCCTGGAGCTTTCTTCTTTTATTTTGATGAGAGGCAAGTGTTTTCTGAAATTATGCATATTTTAAGACTTGATTCATATTGCCACTAGACTGTCCTTGAACTACCAATGATTGTTATAAAATATCTAGTTTTTACTACTTTTATATATTTTACTTGCCAGATGAAGAGCTGAGCCTGATTCAAACAGTTTTTTTGGTTTTGTACTTTTCTTTTAGATTATTTGTTCTCATATTTGAGGGGTTTTTGTTTTTGTTTATTACTACATTTATATGTCTGATACATATACAAGCTTTGGAGACAATCAAGTAACAACTGAAAATGTGAAAGTAACCATTTTTGTCAAAATTCTCTTGAATTGTTATTCTTTGCTTGAAACATTTAAGATTTAAGTCACTGTGGTTTATTGGATTAAGTTTTTTTCCTGTTAATATAATTTTAGAAATAGAATCAGACAATGATGTAGGAAGTGTGGCCATTATAGGTTTTCATAAAATTACACTGACTTGGCTGTTACTTGATCTTAGGAACCAGCACAGTTAAAGATAAGATATTGTGAATTCTGATTTATATTTTATTAAATGCTATCAATGTAGTAGATCCTGTTGTATGTGCCGGGTCTAGTCCAGTTATTTAAGTTCATGTTTCACTATTTGCACTTTGCATTGAACAATGGGTTTATTCGCTGATGAATATGGTTTGAGTAGAGAATTTATATAGGATTTAAAATTATGACATCACACATACACTTGCTTCTCCCCTCCCCTCACCCTGGCAGGGGTGAACAGAGTCTGACATGTAAATGTGAATGAGGCCACAAAGGAGAGGAAAGTGATAAAGCTTGAACTTTTTGCCTTCGCTCCACATTGTCACCTGGAGAGCAAAAGAGCTGTAAGAAACACCGTGTCAGATGAGACAGAAAGAACCAGTAGATTATGAGGGACATTGAAAGCTTTTCAAACCCTCTTAAGAGAAATCAATGAAGCTCTACCTAAAAAAAAAAAAAAAATTACTTATTAGCTCTGTCTTTTGTTTCTGAACTTGAAGTCCCTAAACTGCAAAATCTAAATAAGAGATGGATGATTATTAAAATACTTTTTAGGTCAACTGTGGCACCAATCCTCATTTAATCCAAACTGTGACTAGATTCTTCCATTTCTTCTTCTTCTTCTTCTTCTTCTTCTTCTTTTTTTTTTTTTTTTTGCACTGGGAAAGGTGGAAACAAAACATGTACCGAAATACATATTGGAAATAAAAGTGGCTTGAGTGTCAGTGATATTCTCCCAGAATGTACTTTTCTTACCTCGGCATGTACTGTAGTCACTCAGTTTTTGTATATGTTGCTAGAATTTAGATTGTACAAATAGTGAGATTTTAATGTGTTAATGTGTTTTTAATAAATTGTATATATGTGTCTTGGTCAGATTATTTGGCTTAAATAAAACAATCTTGAGGTTTGTAGCTTTTTCTCATACTACACAAAATGCCAGATTCCTCTATTTTAACACCAGTCAGAAATTTCGTAGCGGATATTATAGTGCTTACAGCAACTTTTGAAAATGCCACTATTGCCTTTTTGCATTTTTCTCTGTGGCCAGCACCATCCTTTGTGAAGCCTGAGTGACTTTACATCAAGCTGAACTTCAGCAGCCAAGCCACAGCCTATGGTGGTGCTGTGTGAGGGAAAAAAAATCACACTGAACACATGCAGATTCCGGTATAGTACCTGTCTTTTCCACCTCAAAGTTATTAGGAGAATCAAATGAAACTGCCATTTTGCAAACATATGATGGTGTTAACATAGTCCATATAATTAATGTCTGATTTGGGTTAAATCAACTGCTAATTTTCCCCCTCTTACACTGCTTTCAGTATTTCATTTATTCCTCTTTCTGATCCTCATCTAATATTTCACCCTTTATATGCTCTTTTTAGGGAGGCAGGCTGTTTGTCAGTAACACCGGTGTTTCCCAGTGATTTTTATTGTTCAAGAGACATAATTCTTCAACTCATACCCTTCCTGGCAGCTTTAATTCCATCCTCTTTATAACCACTACAGTTCTCTGCATTTCTCCTTCACCTCTCATCCCCCTGCCTCCAAATAGCCCTTGGTTATATTTATTAAAATTTGGAAAGGAAGATAAAGCTCATCACATTTGTAAGACTGGCTTGTTTGCATCCAACTGAATTCTCTGGAGCAGCCTAGGTAGCCAGGTAAATTTTGCATTTGAAGGTTAGATTTAATAGTGCAAAACTGAGATTTTTCATGAAAATACCATTTAAATCCAAAAAACAATATAACTCTTTAGGTTTTACTTGCTCTGTTGCCTTTCCTAATTTATTTCAAACAGAAAACTTTAAAAATGTAATGACTAAATTAAGCCAGGCAAAAAAATGTTTAAGAATTTTCTCCTTCTTGAGCTTGTCTAGCCTTGCTTTTTTGTACAAACTTTATTTCTTTAAAATAATGCAAATCCACCAGACTTTAGTAGTTGAATTCTTTAGTTATTTACTCATCCAGAATTTCATGTTTAGCCCATTTCCTTTAACTTAAAAACAGACAAGGAAAAAAACCTCCATCTTCATTCTACCAAATTACTCATTACACAGTTTAATTAATTGCAGGGGGGGGAGCTTAATCAAGCTAGCATGAACTGAGATTTCCATAGCCAATTGGTTCCAGTTTGCCAAATCAAGGCACAATCACATGCCAATTCCCCACCAGCCAGGTTTACAATAGCCAAATAAATATATGTCTCAAAATGTCATGTTACAGTCAAAATTGTTGTGGTAAACTAAATCTCCTTACTTAGTAGTGAGTCACATCCCTTTAAAAGTCTACGATGAAGTAACCATAAAAAGAGGTTTAAAAACACCTCAGAAAACTAGCTTATTTTCAAAATACAATGCACAAAACTTACTTCGCTGATAAACATTTTTGTCTTTTATAAATTAAATATATTCACAGAAATTAGTCTGGTGGTTATAAATCACCAGGCAGCAATAGACTTAATATACACAATTATTTGACAAGTACATCCAACATATTTAAAAATAAACTAAAAATTGCCGTATAAAAATAAAACATACTGTAAGCATCATCTTCTGAGTCTGTAGGGTCACTCTTGAGTCAGGTTGATTACAAAGTTTTTTTCTATAATGTCCTTCAAAAAGAACTGCTCTGCAGTCACATTATGATATTCATTCTATAGAAAAAAATAACATTACCATCTGTACCAATCTCAAAATATTAGCAGCAGCAATGAAATATTTTGTATCTAAAATGTTTCTGAATAAAAAACTGAAATGTTAAGTAGCAAGTCACATGGACTTTTAACTTTTGTTACCTTTCTAATTTCTTTTTCCTTGCTCATTCTTGTGTGAGAGCTTTCCCTAAAGCCCACTCTTTCCACTTCAACTATCACATAAGAGGCTCCTTCAGATCGCCCCCTGGTATACTGAATCATGGTATAAATCTAGAGACCAAAACTGTAAGTCAGAATGTGTTGTTCACTTTTATAAAAGCAGCACCTGGAACTCATAATATTAAGAGAAAAATTGGCCTGGAGATAAGAAATTACCATAAAGCATTGTTAAGATTTTTTATTTCTTTTTAATTCCATTCTATTGATGGACATCCTAATTTTCCTCAGGAAGTTATTTTTCTATTCTTTTCTTTAGATGAATCTTGAAGTACCACAAGTGTTACAGGAAAAATTAGGGCTGAGGAGAAATAAGACTAAGTCTATTCCAGGCACCTAGTTCTTAAACTGTTCAAGTGTTTCTCTTGGGTTTCAGGTGGGGGCGGGGGGTGCAAAAGAGTATTAAAATCTAACCTGAATAATACCACTTCCTCAGCTTATGCAGTATTTGAGGATGATTTAAGGGCACTGATTTCATGGGAAATATACCTAACTAACTTCACAGCAGATCATTCATATTTCAATATTAAAAATGTACAGATAAGTCTTATCACTTGTGATACATCACTAATCTCTATCAGAATTAGAAAAATAGGAGACCCCTTCCCATCCAGTTGGTTAAAATAAAAATCTGAAAAAAAAAAAAAAAAGCTACCAGTATTGATCCCTATTCAAAAGCATAATCCATTATAAAGGTTTGCAACCTTTTTGATCATGAAGATCCTTTTTGGGGTTAAAGTGTTCTAGACCATCTTGTCTACTTAACTGAAAAAATACATGAAAATACTATGAGTATAGGAATGCTTTTTGGTGTATTTGCAATACCGCAAACACAGCAGGGTGCTTATATTGTGCAAACACAATACAATATATAAAATAAGTCTTGGTCCCTAGATGGGTTTGACGACACTTGCTGATTACCATGAGGTTCTCCCAAGGGTCTGAGCCCCACATACTGGGAATTGCTGCTGTATTAAAATGACCTCTGGAGCTCAGTCCTAGTTCCAGCCCCTGGTAGCTCTGTAACCCCCATCCAGCCCTCAACCCCTCAAAACCTGTTCCCTCAGTAAAATGACAAGGTGAGAAGAGAAAATAGGGGCTTTCCAACACTAAAGATTATACCAAAGTATTATGTATGTTACCTTAAGTATATTACCTTATTCATCAAAGACATGGTGGCATTCCCATAGTAGTGCAAAGGACTCTTGAGGTCAGAAAAGTTGTATTTAAAACCAGCTATGTGAACTTCATGACATATGAGAAATGCCAGTGTGATGGCAATAATTCCTGTTGTAGGGTGTTTGGGTTTCTGCAGGGGAGAAAAGATTTAAAAGAAAAATCCAAATGAGCTACTTGTTTCCAAAGCACATTTGGTTGGCTAATCTTACAAAACAGGAATTTCTGAACATTTTAATCAGGAGAAAAATATTTAATTAAATGCTCATCATGTCCTAAGGCTCAAGCCTCAAACAGTACACATATACAAATTAACTCTGAAAAGAATATAAACTGTGATTGAAATCTTAGAAAGTCTTTCAAATAAAACAGCTGCAAAATTAGCCCAGAAGAAAACTGTCAAATGAAGGTAAATCTCAGGCGTAAGGAAGAGGATACTGCTGCATCGTTTAAAAAAAAAAAAATATGATGGGCCAGGCTCTTTATGGAAAAGCAAAGCCTGGGAATTCTGAATACATACATGAGGTGTAAGGACAGCCTAATTTACTAACAGATAGAATCATGATAAAAGCCTTTATAAATATTAGCCTTTAAATAGCTAAATTTTATACTCCTGATAATTTAAACTGGCTCTAGGGAAGGACTAATCAAGCAACTTCAGCAAATTGTAATAGTATCTGACTAGAAAATAAAGATTCCATAGGTATATATAGCAATATCAATCTCAACTGGATCATTATCAATTTTTAAAAAAAGGAAAAAGAGAAACCAAGCCTCCTCTTTCCCCCTTCATAGTCAAGTTACTTCAAAGAGTTTGTGGAAAAAAAGATGATATGAATCTTTCCATGAACTTTTGAAGTATACATATATACTAAAAACCTGTGTAATCGATGTTTGACAGGAAGGTCTTGGCGTTCATAAGTTTTAGTTCTCACTGGCATGGCCTTTAAAGCCAAAAACAAAATATATCTTAAACTTTTCACTCAACTGCTCTAGAAGACTTCCTTTCAAGTGTTTCCTACAGACTGCATGGAAATAACATATTATTATGATTTTGAGGGGGAAAAAATGAACTACAGGAGGCAAGCTTGTCTGAAAGCCTAATAGCTTGTAGCATAAGCATTTCT